CCCATCTTGAGATTCAGCCTGCTGAGCATGATAACGTCCAGAACACTCAGGGCCGAAAGCACGAGATTAGTCATCAAAAGCAGGTTTCGGTACGTCCAGTCCCGCATGTAACGCTGGTAGGAGTAAATGCCGACCAGTGAGCAGAAGGCGCCCACGGTGCCGAGCACGGAGGTGTAGAACTCCATGGAGAAATGGGGGCCGTCCTTGTACTTGTCGGGCGTGTCCGTGTAGAAGTAGAAGCTTGCGCCGCCGATGGAGAAGCCCAGCGATGTCTGCAGCAGGAAGAAAGCATTCACCCTCGCTATGAGCGGGCGCAACAACACTGGAGACTGTGTTCTCTTCTTCGCCCGAAAACTTGGTGTGAATGGAGACTGTGCCTCCTTCTCCGTCCGGAAAACAAATGAAACAACGGGGAGCGGGAGCCGGGGGAGGAGATGACGGTAACGGCCCCGACGGAGGCTGGCAGGCCGTGCCCACGAACCTCGGATCACTCGCCAAGGTGTTCTCGACTGGAGCGGCCCTCGCAAACCCTTTCTTAGATGCAACCCCAAGTGTGCTCACATATCCGGATCAGCACGCACCATACGTAACGCACACGTCATCCACACGTCACTCACATACACAGCGAGTGCAACGCACACACACACACACACACACAAACACAAACACAAACACAAACACAAACACAAACACACACACACACACGCACACACACACAAACACAAACACAAACACACACACACACACACGCACTCACGCACGCACAGCACACGCAGCTCATAACACGCACATCCTACAACAGACGCTGGTCTTAAACCATACTCTCAACACACACACACAAACACACACACACACGCGCGCACATGCCACAACATAAACGCACCCATCGCACACCACATCACACCACAAACAGCGCAGGCACTGCACACAATACACACATACATATACACAAACACACATATGCACACACACATCACACACAAGCGACTCACAAACGTACACACATACACACACGCCACCCAGACACAACACGCACACGCCAGACACATCGCACGCAACGCACACCCACCACCGCTATGTTAGAGCGGACGACGAAGACAAGGAGGATGAAGAGGATGAGGGAAGAGGTGCAGTGGGGGAGCGGGAAAGGGAGGAGACCACGATGCTTGAAGAAATCTGGGGGATTGCGAACCAGACCGTTTCCGCAGAGACACGAACGATTGGGAGCAACACGCGGTGCTAAAGCGCACAGCAAGCACCGTAACGACTAGAATTACCACCAGGACCGTGCCTGCTGGCACTTCATCGCGGGCACCGCAATTCTGCAGCACTGCCCCTTGCAAGCGCCGCAGTGTCCACGATCACCACAGTGCTTCTGAACACCCATGTGCCTACATGACATGGGGGCCACAGGGAAGGGGGGGCCGATGGTGGCGGACAGGGCCAACCAAGAAAAAGGGGGGTACGGCGTCAGGGCTGCTGGCGAGGATGTGGGCGCGAACACCGTCACGGATGTCATGCTCCGGGATTTGAAATAATACTACACCAAACCTGAATCACTGGATGGTTTGAAAAATAATGCTACCCGGTAGGCGGCCGGGTTCCCGGGTTCCCTGGTTTCTGGTACCCGGGTTCTCGGTCCCGGGTTCCGAACCGACTTCGGTGGGCCGCGGGGTTCCCGGGTTCCCGGGTTCCTGTCAGATCTTCAGACCGATCGGTCTCATCATCGATCTCATGACCCACCTCTCTATCGATCCCACTATCGATCTCACAAACGGTCCCACTAGCGATCTCACAATCGATCTCACTGTAGATCGCACGATCGATCTCACTATCGATCTCATTGAACCAACTTCACTATCGGCATCATAAATTTTCAAACCGTCCACTGATTGGGGTTCTTCTCTGGTGTAAAATGGATAATGAAATCAATTGTGAGGTCGATAGTGAGATCGATAGTGGAATCGATAGTGAAGACGATTGTAAGGTCGATCGTGAGACCAATAGTGAAGTCGATTCAATGAGATCGATCGGGATCGATCTTGAGATCGCTCGTGTGCTCTATGGTGAGATCGATTATGAGATCGATCGTAGGATCGACTCGATCGTGAGATCGATGGAGAAGTGGGTATGTAACATCGATAGTGAGACCGATCGATCAGAAAATCGACCAAGAACCCGGGAACCCGGGAACCCCGCGGCCCACCGAAATCGGCGCGGAATCCGGAACTGGAAACTCGGGAAACGGGAACCTGGAAACCTGGGAGCCTGGCCGCCCACCGCAATCGGCCCGGCCCTTTCGCCAAATCTTTCAATCTCCCCCAGGACCCCTTCAGTGCAAGCACTCATTGGGAAAATCACTCGCCGCGCAGACCCCCATGTGTGCATATAATATTCCGTGCACGTCTCGCAGAGGGAATCTCTCTGCGAGTATCTGGGTGTGAGGGCGAGTCCGCGTAGACGACGGGGGCGACCGCCACGACGACGACAACGACGACGCCAGTGACGTCCTCCTTCTCCTCTGGCATCTCTCAGGAGAGGCGAGGACGAACAAGTGGAAAAGCGAGGGGCCCCCCTGCCGTTCTCACTGCGGCAGCTCCTGCAAGACCTTCTCCTCCTCCTTTTCCTCCTCCCCCTCCCCCTGAGACATCCCACTTGGCCCGAGTGCTGGAGTGTCCGGGCCCCTGGCGGCTTCCCCTTGGGGTGCCCAAGTGCCGCACCTGCTCTACCTCGGCGACTCCAAATGGTGTGGTTTGCAAAGGGTGTGGTTTGCAACCGGCACCCTGGGGAACATCCTGGGGGTCACCCTGGGGGGCGCGCGGGGACCTCGATAGAGTTCTCCCGCGCCCCGAGGAGGCCCGACGTGGACAGTGTCGTGCCCCCCAGGCCCCAACAGTGCCGATCGTAAACCACACCCTGGCGTAACCACACCCTTTGTAGTCGCCGACTACCGCGGTGAGCGGTGGACCACCATAAGAGGGGAAACCGGGGGCAGAAGGGGGCAAACCGCCCGAGACGTCCCCACAATCTGGGCGCGAATCCTGGAGCGCCCTGACCGTAGTGGGCCCTGGAAACCACAGGGCCGTATTTTTACCGGTTCCGTTCTGCCGTTTTTTTGCCGGTTCCGACGCCGGCCGCTTTTTGACCGGTTCCGGCTCCAGTTCCAATCCTGGAGCCGTTTTTTGCCGTTTCCAGTCGCTGTTTTTTTTGCCGTTTCCATTTTCAAAAGAATTTGTTTTGGAAACGGTGACAAAACGGCCCTGCCGTTTCTGGGGCCCACAAAGGCCCTGACCCCTGGCGGCTCCCCATCGGTAGTGCTGAAGCCAGCGCCTCGCCCGAGACGTCCTCGCACACAGCTCCGAAAGCGGAGGGCATGCAAACAGGCAAACCGCCGGAGACGTCTCCACAATATGGGCGCGAACCGTGAAGTGTCCCCGCCCTGGCGACTCCCGCTTGGTAGTGCTGAAACCAGTATGGCGCCCAAGACACCCACCCACCCTCACACACTGCTCCGAAAGCAGAGAAAGGTGCGCACGCAAACAGGCAAACCGTGTGAGACGTCCCACAACCTGCGCGCGAATCCTGGAATGGCCCCACCCTGGCGGCTCCCTGTTTGGAGTGCTGAAACCAGCGATTCACCTGAGACGCCCTCACACACTGCTCTGGAAGCAAGGGATGTTGCGCACGCAGACAGGCAAACCGCCTACATCCTCCCAATCTGGGCGCGAATCCTGCAGTGACCCCACCCCTGGCGGCTCCCCTGTGGGGCCCGGCCTGCTCTGTCGCGGTGAGCATAGGACCACCCAAAGAAAAGTCTGAGGGGGTAGGAGCGGGCACACCACCGATGGCACCCCCATAATGTGGGCGCGAGTCCTGAAGTGTCCAGCCAGAGAACGAGATCTGAGTCTGAGTGTGAGTGCCTCTGAGTATGAGCCATCTGAGTGAGGAAGTGATGGGACTGAGTTGAGTCTGAGTGTAAGTGAGTCTGAGTGTGAGTGAGTCTGAGTGTGAGTGAGTCAGAGGGTGAGTGAATCCGCCGACCCCTTGTGGGTCTCTAGGCCCCCCCCATAATGCCCCCCCCCAGGGACCCCAAACTGGCAATTCGACCCCCCGCCCCCTGGCCTGGCGCGACCATGGGCCGAACGCGTCACGGGGGAGCGGAGGGCTCCAAAACGGGCCAAGAAGGCACCAAAACGCTCCCCAGACGGTCCCAGAGGGCCAGGAGTCGCCGAAATATCGCTCCTTGGCGCCCACGATGGCCTTCAGACGGCCTCCGAAGCTGCCAAGACGCCCCAAAAGGCCCCCAAGATGCGTCCCAAGAGGGTCCCAAGAAACAGACTTCGTTCCATATTCATTGAAAAAAAACGCCATGTTTCGCATACTTGCCCTTTCGGCTTTCACAACGTCCAAGACGGGCAACAAAAATCTTCAAGATCGTCCCCGGACGGCCGAAGGGGCCCCCGGAAGGGTCGAAAAGGGTCCCAAAAAAGAAGCCCACAGGAAACCCCCATGAGGCCCCAAAACTTGGCCCAAGATGCCTCGAGGCGGGCGGATATGGCCTGCAGACAGGCCAAGATGCCACCAACAGGCCACAGAAGAGCACCAAGAGGTACGAGCACAGCAACGAAGCAACAGGAACGATGTCGAGCGCCGTGTCATGATTCGGACGAGCCTCGTGAAATGCAGTCCTGGAGGGGCAGTAGTTAAACCTTTCGGGGTCGGCGGAAGTTGGCGTAAGCCTTCAGAGTCTTAGTGTGAATGGGTCTGAGTGTGATGAGCCAGTCTGGGTGCGGATGAGTCTGAGGAGCGTGCAAGAGGAGGACGAGGAAGGACAGAGGTGAATTGCACGCGCCTGAATAATCCCACCATCCCCCCGGGCTGAGTGTCCAACGGAGTTCCCTGCCACATTCCCTCCTCCCTCTGCTCGGGGGAGGGGCTTACCCCGAGCCCCCTCCCCCTTACCCCCTCCCATGGGTCCGGGAGGGGGGGCGGCTCCGAGCCCGCAGACCGTCCAAGATGGCTCCAGGAGGGCCCTCGGGAACCCAAGACGGCCTCCAAGATGGCTCAATATACCCCCTTGACATCGCCCAACATAGCTTCTGACATGCCTCCAAGACGGCCCAAGACAGCCCCAATAAGGGGGTTCCGAGTTCCCTTTCGAGCCTCCCAGGGCAACGCCCAAGAGGCCAACATCCTTCAAACACCCAAGGGAAATCAAGGTCTATGAGTTTCTCGCCCTCTCGTTTCCGATGGATATGTTGGCATGGGCCCAAGACGGCCCCAAAAACGCCCAAGAGGCGCCCAAGAGACCCCCAGGAGATAATCTTGGAGCCTCCGAGGGGGGGCCTAAATGTGTCACCTCCCTTCTTTGATCGATCTCCCCCAAAATGGCTCCCCAGACCGAGCCCAAAAGGGCGCCCAGCACCACCAACGAGGCGCCCAGCATCACCAGGGATGCCCTCAAGGGGCCCTCGAGAAGCCTCCAGGAGCCCCCCCCCCGAGAGACCCAAAGTGGCTCCAAGAGGCTCCTCCGGGGCATCAAAGACGTTTCAAGAGGCCCCGAGAACCACCAAGACCTCTCCTCCTCCTCCTCCGCCTCCTCCTCTTCCTCCTCTTCTTCTTATTCATTCGGGGCAATCTGATTTAATGTTTATCCAAACCCGTTTGGGGGGAAAACAACAACGAAACAACAAAACAACACAACAGCAAACATTGGCAACGAGTGACACACTCAGGGACGCAAACAACCTCCTCATCCCCCTCCCCCTCCCCCTCCCCCTTCTTCTTCTTCTCCTCCTCCTCCTCCTCCTCGCCTCCGTCTCCTCCTCCTCCTCCTCCTCCTCCTGCTCCTCCTCCTCCTCCTCCTCCTCCTCCTCCTCCTCCTCTTCCTCATCTTCCTCCTCTCTCAATCGGGGCAACATGATCTGATGTTCCCCCCCCCCGAAACCCGTGCGGCAGGTCAATATCTGTCGAGGAGGACCCGAGAATACCCCCTATGGAGCCCAAACGGCACCAGGTCAACCTGTTCAGCCGACCTTTTGACCACTCATACAGCACATGTCCCCGTCCTCCCTGCAACCCCGAAAGGCATCCAAGGCGGCTGCCGCACTGCATGCTTCTACGCTGCCCTCGTCAAGGCCGCTCATCTCGCGATCGTGTCTGGATGGGCTGGCGGGGACACTTTTTTGATCGCGAGCGCAAACGGACAAAAAGGCCGCGCGCCGTCCAGAGCGCTGGTGGGGATACTTCTTGTTCGCGAGCGATACGGAGCAACTGGTTCGGGGGCCTGGGGTGAGTGCGGTTCGGCAAGTGGTTCACCCTTTGCGCGGCTATCGACTTCCGCCCTTCCGGTCCACCACGGCCCCCGTCTGACGCACGCCGCTTGGTTCCCCCGTCATCCGTGATGGTTAAGCCGCCTGCGTTGTTCGCCGACGACGTGGTCCGCCTCTGGGCGGGAGCCTCCCTCGTGCTCCTGATACTGCTCAAGCGGTTCATCCTTTGTCAGTACTCACGCTCTACTACGAGGGGACCATGATGTTAGGCCACGCCTGCTGCTGCTCCCCCGACACTCCGGGTCTAGCAGTCTAGGTTCGGACTCCGCGGCTGCATCGACGTCAGTCCATTGGTCAATGGCTCACGGCGACTCGCGCCCATGAGTTCTTGTGAGTGAGTGAGTGAGGCTTCCCCTGCCACCCCTCTTCTGCCCGCGCCTTCCCCGCTCTCTGGCCTCCGAGTGGTGAGCGGTGCGGCCCCACGTGCCCACTGTCCTGCCACTTGGCTGTTTGCCTTTGCCTGCACTCTCTGGACTGCACGGTTGGAGCTGGCGCCACTGTGCGTCTTCTCTCCGTCTACTCCAGTCTGGTGCCGGCGTCCCCGTTCTCGGGTCGCTTGCATCGTAATGGGGGGCATTTTGCCTCTTGCAGGTGCACTCGTTGCGTCGGCCTACGCGCCTTCGTAGCCAATTATCTCGCCTGTGCCCCAGACGTGCTTGCCCCGCTTCCTGGACTCTTCCTCGGAGCCGCCAATCAAAAAAAATATCCCCACCAGCTGCGCCTAGAAGCTAATTAGGCTGGCCGTCGCCCCGGACCCCCTTTCGCCGCCTGCCCTCTGCTGCGCGGCCGCGACCAAAAAAAGTATCCCCACCCTTGTCTTGCCTTTCGCTTGCTTCTTCGCTACGCGCATGGCGAACATCTGCACCACGGCTGTTCGACTCTTCTTCCTGGGTCTGACGCAGTTCACCCACCATTTTGGTGTGCATCGTGGCCTTCTTGGTCCTCCTCGGCCTGGCGGACCTCCTGGACTTCACCAGCTTCGCCGTCTGAGCGACTGCGTAGCGCGCCCTGGTCGCTGTGGCTCCCTCTTGAGCTGTATGTTAGATCGTTGCGTTGTTGCTTCGCTTCTTGCCGCACTTGCGAAGCGTCAATAATTCGCTGGCCCAACGGGGCAACACCGAGCTAAAATATCTGGTAAAAGTTTGAGAATGTTTCTAATTCGCGCGCGCGTGGCGGCCCCTTGGGGTACCTGGACAAAAAATATCCAGACGAGGTCCTGGCAGGTCCAGGTCAGAGATGCCGGAACTCCTGGGCGCGGCCCCTAGGGCCCCCAGAGCGTCTCAGGAGCGCCTCAAGGAGGCGCCAAATAGGTGACAGACCCCACGGCCTCAGGCCAAGAGCGTTCCAAGATGGCCCAAATTGGTCTCAAGGCGGCCCAAGGGGAGCCCAAGACGCCCCAGGAGGGGCCAACACGACCCCAAGAGGGCCCGAAGAGGCAACATTCAATTATTTTGCTACAATTTTTAGCCGATGTTGGTGTTACCGCCTTTTCAAGCTTCCGACCGCTCAGGACGGCCCAGGCCTCCAAGGTCGCCCCAAGATAGCCCAAGAGGCTCCCAGGACGGCCCCAAGACGGCCCACCAGTGCCCCAAGACGGCTCAAGAGGCCTCCCCAGAGGGCTCCAGAGGCTCCCATGAGGGCCCCAAGAAGGGGGAACCCGAACAAACATATCGAGCCTTACCCCAAAGGTGGACCCCCCAGACCGCCAGAAGGCCCCCAAGAAACCTCCAAGAGGCCGCCAGAAGACCCCAACAAACGCAGCCAAGAGGCCCCGGAGAGGCCTCCCAAGATACCACAAGAAGCCATCCAAAGAGGCGTCTTGTCCGCAACCCAGTTTGGGCCCCACATTGGCCCAAGAAGCTGTCGAAAGGCCTCCTTCTCCTCCTCCTCCTCCTCCTCCTCCTCCTCCTCCTCCTCCATTATCGAGTCCCCGATCCTCACTATCGCCCGCCATGGGCACACCAAGGTGGTGCAAAATGGGTCGGCGGAATGAGCGAAGCGATTAAACAACAAGAACCCCATCTTAGGATATGGGAAAGAAAAGGTCCTGAGAAAGCCACCAGGATTACCAACGCAACGATAATCGAGCCGACGCAATTGACGATCACGCTCTCATAGAAAATGCCGAGGGACGTCAAGACCATGGTGCCCACAAACATGAGCAGGCAGAGGAGACACGTCTCTCTCTCCTCCGCCAATCTGGCACGGGCGACGCGCACCTGCTCTGCGGTCTTCACCGTCTCCTCCAGGTAGTTCCTGGAGATCGGCAGGATGATGAATGCGGCTGGCAGCAGAGATACGAGCTGAGGAACGAAAACGCTACTCCAGATTTCGTAATAAAAGGGAGGGGGTCTGGACACTCCAAGACAAGCCATTTCAGACCTCCCCAGTGGGAGAACCCTCCAAAACATCGTCCCCAGACCCCCCCAGGCCCTCCAAGATAGCCTGGAAGAGACCCCCCCCCGAAATGAGACCCCCTCCCTTTTATTACAAAATCTGGAGTACAAAAGCATAAACCTTCGGAGGTCTGCGCGGCCTTCTTGCCTCGGCGCCGGAACCACCTGGCAGAGCCTCCGGCGCCACGCCTGCCGCGCTCCGCGCGCCAGGGGGGCCTAGCTCCGATCCGAGAACTCTGCGCGGACCCTGGTGAAGCAAAAAAGGCGACGACACCGCTACGCCCTGGACCTCTCCCTGGGTGCTCTCTGGCGGTCCGACCAGAATCTCGAGGCGAACCCAGCCGTGGCGACGAGTGTGGGAAGCCTCCCGAAACGAAAGCAAGTCAGGTAATAGCAGCGTTGGTACCCTTTCTGAGACCCTCGAGAGTTTACGCGCATGCCGGTTTCCCTCCTCCAATGAGGAACGGTGCCTTGGGACCGTAGTGATCGAGCACAGGCCCAACCATTAGCGTCGCCAGCAGGCCCCCGCCCTGCAGGCCGAACCACACGAAGGTCATGAGGTCGGGCCCCCTGGCGGGGTTCGACTGCATCTTCTCGGCGTACTTCGCCTCCGTGAGGAGGTCGCAGCTGGAGAACTGCAGCTGCATGCAGAAGAGGCAGAACACAACGGCGTTGACACTCAGCCGCTCGGCCGGGATCTTGGCCAGGGCCGCGCAGCCGACGATGCCCAGCATGGTCGCCAGCAGGATGTAGGGCGCCTTGTTGTAGCCGCGAATGGGGAAGCAGTCGCTCACGAGCCCGATGATGGGCTTCATGGCCCAAGGAAGGGAAATGATGCCGCCGAAGATCTGCATGCGAGGGCCCGCAACGTTGTACGAGGCAAAGAGAAACTGCGACGCCGGCCCAGTGAAGGAGGGCGCGAAACCTTTCATGATGTGCTGCGAGGCGAACAGCATCACGAGCAGCCTGTATCCGAAGGCCTGGCCGAGCTCGTCCAGCCACCTGTTCTGGTTGAACGGGAAGGGCAGGGAGCCGTGCCCCTCCGCGGGCTTCTGCACGCCGGGCGGGAGCAGCGAGGAGTAGGCCGCACCCTTGCCGAGGCCATCTCCGAGTCGATCGCTCTCGCTGGCTTCCACATCTCTGCGACACACGTCGTCGCTGTTGGCCGTCGTCATCGCGACAGGCCGTGGGCCGGCCTCTGGGCGGGCCGCAGCTACGTTACCACGAGCAGACCAAGGGGGGACAGCAGCTGCCTGACAGATTCGAGCCTGCACGGCTCCAGTCAAGGTGGCCACTGGGAGGGAGCCACCTTCGAGCCTGCGGGCTCCGCGGTGCCCTCCGCGGCCGACAGCGCGACCCTGGCGTAAGGAACGTGCCACGCCGAGTGGCGTGCTAGGGGACGTGCCAGGGCACGCCACGCCTGAACATCGCAAGAGACGCGCCAGGGGGCGCGCCAGGGCGCCAGAGGACGCCCCACGGACGGGCGGGGCTGCAATGCGACGCATTCTACTGCGACAAGTGTTTCGGTCGAGACATCCTCAACAAATCCTCATGTTAGACATCCGCCTGGGCGACCTGCACACGTGAAAGCAAGCCTCTCGCTCGAGACGTCCTCAACATCTCCTCATGCTAAACATCTGCCTTAGCGACTGTGACACGTAAAAACAAACGTTTCGTTCAACGCATCCTCAACGCATCCTCATGCTAGACATCCGCCTGGGCGACCTGGGCACGTTAAAACAAGCGCTTCGCTCAACATGTTCTCAACACATCCTCATGCTAGACATCCGCCTAGGCGACCTGCACACGTGAAAGCAAGCCTCTCGCTCGAGACGTCCTCAACACCTCCTCATGCTAAAAATCTGCCTGAGCGACTGGGACACGTGAAAACAAACGTTTCGCTCAACACATCATCCACACATCCTCATGCTAGACATTCGCCTGGGCGACCTGGCCACGCGAAAACGAGCGGTTCGCCCGACATATCCTCCGCACAGCTTCATATTAGACATCCGTCTGGGCGACCTGGGCACGCGAAAACAAACGTTTCGATCGAGGACTTCTCAACACATCCTCAAGCTAGACATCCGCCTGGGCGACCTGCACACGTGAAAACAAACGTTTCGCTCAACACATACTCATGCTAGACATCCGCCTGGGCGACCTGGGCACGTTAAAGCAAGCGCTTCGCTCAACACGTTCTCAACACATCCTCATGCTAGACATCCGCCTAGGCGACCTGCATACGTGAAAGCAAGCCTCTCGCTCGAGACGTCTTCAACACCTCCTCGTGCTAAACATCTGCCTGAACGACTGAGACACGTGATAACGAGGGGTATCTTAGGGCCAAGGTCATCATGGAGGCGTACAGGAAGAGGGGCATTGCCCTTTGGAGCGTGCCTCCCAAAAGCCCCGATCTAAACCCAGTAGAGATGTTCTAGGGCTGGCTTCGCAAGAAGCTGCGGGCGCTGGACCTGCAGGACTTGCGCAAGAAGCGGGCGCTCTTGGGCAAGACGGCCTACACCGCCAGGGTCAAGCGTCTCTCTCGAGTCATCCTCGAAACATTTTCATGTTAGGCATCCGCCTGGGCGACCTGGGCAGGTGAAAACAAGCGTTTCGCTCAACACGTTCTCAACACATCCTCATGCTTGACATCCGCCTGGGTGACCTGGACACAAGAAGCCAAGCGTCTCCCTCTCGAGACATCCTCAACACATCCTGATGCTACTAGAGGCGTGAAAATGACCGTTTCGCTGAACACAGCCTCAACACAACCTCATGCTAGACATCCGCCTGGGCGACCTGGACACGCGAAAACAAACGTCTCTTGAGAGACATTCTCAACACATCCTCATGCTAGACATCCGCCTGGACGACCTGGACACGTGAAAACAAGCGTCTCTCTCTCGAGATATCCTCAACAAATCCTGATGCTAGACATCTGCCTGGGCAACCTGGGAGCGTGAAACCGAGCGTCTCGCTCGAGACATCCTCAAGACCTGGGCACGTTCAAACAAACATTTCACCTGAGACATCCTCTGAATTCTGACCCCAAGGAGAGGAGCGACCTGCAGCACAAAACAAACGTTTCGCTCGAGCCATCCTCAACAAATGATGCAAACCGAGCGTTTCGCTCGAGACATCCGCAACAAACGAACATGCTCACGTCACCCTCTCTTTTATCCATCGGAATTTCAAAAACCAGCGTTTTGCTCTGGATATCCTCAAGCTTTAATCCGCTGGCCCTCTTCGACCTCGTTATTCATCCGGGAAAGAATCCGCCGACCCTCTTCGCACTTGGCACCGGGGACAGGTTCACCTAATTACTAAAAGAGCATCCTGGGCCCCCGCCCTCTCCGGGGAGACACGTCGGGCCGGTCGGCCATGGAGCCCGGTGTGTGCAGCCGCCCCTGCTCCACGAGAGACGGGGACGCTGGAGCGTCTGCACACCGAACTCCTTCGACCGGGGGGCGGCCCCGTGGACGACCAAGCGGCGTGCTGCACACATCGAAGCCCTCCTCCTCCTCCTCCTCCTCCTCCTCCTCCTCCTCCTCCTCCTCCGCAGAACGCTCGAGATCGCCTCGCAAAATCGCGATCCTCGACCCTCAGACCCTGACGGCGCCTCTGCGTGTGCGACCGCCCGCGCGGAGCGCGCCCTGCCCCGGGCGGGTGGCGGCCTCCTCGAGGGGTGCCCAGTCTTCGGTCGGGCACGTCCCTGCTGCGGGCGGATTTTGGAGGAGGCCCCCCCAGAGGAGGGAGGGGGAGGAGGAAGGAGGGGGATCGGGAGGAGGATCGGGAGGAGGAGGAGGATGGGGAGAAATGCGACATGGCCAGGCACAGACAAAAAGAACAGCCAGAGGTGGCCCGAGGCGCCGCCCCCGTGCTGCTCTGGCCGACTCTCTCTCTCTGGAGCCTCCTCCCGCAGGAGTGGCACATGCCCGACTCTGGAGCCTGGCCCTCTGCGCGCGCACCCGCTGCGCCGCCGAGGCGCCCCCCCTTTTCGGAGCACGGCCGGCCGCGCGGCCCCGCGGCGGCGCGTCTCTCGGCGGCGCTCCCGGCCAGCCGGCGCGGCGCCGCGCTGCTCGGGTCGGCGCCCAGCGGCGGGGCGCTCGGCGGGGGCGGGAGGCCCAGCTGCGCCTCGCGGAGGGGGGGGGGGGGGGGGGGGCGCCTCGGGCCTCCGACGGCCCTCGGAGGAGCCCTCGGGTCTGGGCGCCGCGTCTCTGTGGTCTGGGCGCTTGTCGTCGTCCTCCTCCTCCTCCTCCTCCTCCTCCTCCTCCCCCTCCCTCCTCTCCTCCTCCTCCTCCTCCTCCTCCTCCTCCTCCTCCTCCTCCTCCTCCTCCTCCTCCTCCTCCTCCTCCTCCTCCTCCCCCCCGCATAAGCCGGGGGCCCGGTGAGCACACCGGGACGGTCGGGGAACCCAAAGTGGTCGACCGCCGCCTGTATGGGCGGGATAGAAATAGAGCTGGGGACTTGCCGGAGAAGGCGGAGGGCGGCGGGGGGGCTTGGGCGCCGAGGCTCCCTGGGGCTCCCTCCCCTAGGTGGGGGTGGGGTACTGGGAGGGGCGGGCTAGGGATGCCCCCCGTTGCCAGGCCCCCCTGGCGCGGGGTCCCTGGGCCCGTCCTACTTGGTGTCCCTCCTCCTCCTGGGTCCCCCTCGGGGGGCGGGCTGGCGCGGGCTCCCTCGGGCCTGCGACGCATGCCCGCGCTGCGGCACGGCGGCACCCATCGCCAGCTCCGAGGGCGCGATGGGTGCAGGAGGCGGGGGCCCTGCTGTCGCGCGGGGCCCCTGGCCCCCGGGGCGGTGCGCCGGGCCGCATGGCGCTTCCGGTGCGGCCTGCACCGCCCCGGGAGTTTTTGTGGCCTTAGCTGCCCTACTAGTGGGGGCTGCTGGGGCCGCTGGGGGCTCCCGCGGCGCGGGGCCCTCTATTTTGTGGTGTCGTTTTTTGACGGGGGTTGTCCAGGCCCGTCGCCTCTGGTTGCCCTGTGTCTCAGGAGCCATCGTTTTCATGGAGATGTGGCTGGCCTGCTCTGAGTAGTCCTGAATAGTCCTCCTCCTCCTCCTCCTCCTCCTCCTCCTCCTCCTCCTCCTCCTCCTTTGGGGGACTCCGCGGCCTCCGTCCGCGCACTCGCTCTCGTAGCCCACCGCGCGGGCGCTTGTCCTCCAGCTTCGGGCCCCGGGAACCTCCCTCAGCGATTCGGCTCGGAAAAGTAGCGACGATCAGAAAACGGGTCTTGCGCGGCGGCTCACGCGGGCCGCTCGCGCGGCACGCCACACTTGAAGCGAGGGTGCTTACGCGCGACCTCATGCGGGTAGCTCACGCGCGAATGCTGGCGCAGACGACCCCGCTTTTCGTCGCTCAAATGACGCAATCAGATGGGGTCCGGGGCTCCAGAGGTAGTTTTTGTTGCGATGTTGCAGTGTTTCTGCAAGGCTCGATCTGAAGAAAGGAAACTCGCTATCGCTCGGACTTCCATTCCCAGCCGTTTTGGGCACCAGGCTGGGGGGCCAAAATATCGATACTACCGCGAGTCCCCGAACCTCTCCAAGGGACCGGCCGGGTAACCTTAGCAAGGCTGAACCCAGCTGGCGGAACTCGGCCAGGCCGAATTTGGCCAAGCTGAATTCGACCTGGGCCGAGTTCAGCCTGGCCGAGTTTGGCTTGGCCGAGTCTTTCCTTGATGTCGCTCGGACGTTTGCGTTTTCTTTTGGCGAGGACCATCGAGGAGCCTCATGGATCATCTAGCGGAGAAGAAGAACTCACGAAACCGAAAGATGCACAGGGAATGGACGTCCGAGCGATGGCAAGGTGTTCGGGGCCCCCGTTAGATAAGGAAACGATCTCGAGGCCGCTACTCGTCCTGGAGAGCCCTCGTCGCCGCGGCCCGATTCTCCTCGAAATTCTGGTCGAGTTCAGCCTGGCCGAGTTTTCTTGGCCGAATTCAACTGCCGCCCTTCTCCCTCCTGCTCCGCTCCTCCTCCTCCTCCTCCTCCTCCTCCTCCGCCTCCTCCTCCTCCGTCCCCCTCCTCCGTCCCCCTCCTTCCTTCCCTTCCCCCTCCTTCCCATCCCCTCCAGCCCGATCCGTCAGGGCTCCGCGTGAGGCCCCAAAGGGGCGTCTGCAGCATGCGAAGACGGCCTCGCAACTCGTGGCGGCTCGGTGGGCGGCGCCGTCGTGGCTCACCTCCGCGACCCCCGCGGAGCGACGAGCGCGGTGGAACTCCGAGCCGGACCGTGCCCCGCCGCGGCCGAGGAGGAGGGGCCGCTGCACCTTGGGGATGGCCAGCCCGGCCTCCTCCCTCGTCGTGAGCTGGGTCGGACAGACTGGGGAGGAGGAGGAGGAGGCGGAGGAAGAGGAGGAGGAGGAGGAGGAGGAGGAGGAGGCGGAGGAGGAGGAGGAGGAGGAGGAGGCGGAAGAGGAGGAGGAGGCGGAGGAGGCGGAGGAGGACAGGACAGGACATCCGCACAAGGGGGTCAACGTCAACACACCTACACTGGTGCCTTGCGCGCGTCTGGCAAAACCTCCTGCGATCTGGTCGTGCGACAGCCCTGACTTCTCACTAGGGGAGGCGGCGGCGGAGGAGGCGGAGGAGGCGGAGGAGGCGGAGGAGGAGGAGGAGGAGTTAATACTAGCGGGTGCGCGAACGGGCGCCGGGAGGCGCCGACGATCAAGAGCGGCGCCGGACGGCGGGGCCGAAACCAGCGGCACGCAGCAGACTTTGTGTACCGCCCTCCCTTCGCCAAGACTCCGCCCGTCGCCCGACCCGCAAGACTGCGCCTCTGCCGTGTCACTCGGGGGGGGGGAGGGGGGCACCGACGGACGAGGACCCGTTGGAGGTCGAGGCCGGCGCTCTCCCACTGGGTCTCCCACCTTCTCGTCACCGTGGGACGTCCCAGAGGGTGCCGCCACCTGGGCCCTCCTGCACATTTTGGGGGTGAGCCGAGGTCCCGCTGTCGTCCATGCTGTGTGGCCGACCCTGGGAACCCTGGATCAACAAAATGCTGCCATCTCGCTTTTATGTCCGCTACCTTCCGCCAGCATCAACTCGCGGACCAGCTGCCGCTTTACTTTCGTTGGCCGTCTGCCCGTTTACGCCGAGGGAGAGATTTGCCGAAGGCGAGACCCTTTCTGGAGCGCGTCAACGTATGAGAATGACTCAGGGGGTTGTTCATTCTCTGGCCGCTGTATGGAATGCACCCACGGCCCAAATCATCGCCGATCCTGGCCAACCGACATGCCAATCCTCGCGTTCCCTCCCGTTCACCTCCCAACCGCCCCCCTCATCCCCTGAACCCCTCCCTTGGCCTCCATTCCTCTGCATTGCACGCCTAGCCTCCCACATCCATCACTTCTCCCCTCCCTCCCGGTCATGCCTCGCCCCCCCTCCGCACTCTCGAGCCAGACGCTTCCGTGCCGCTCATCTTCCTGAGCCCTCCCTCCGGTGCCTTCGATCAGATCGGAGGACGAGGATTAGGGGGAGCCCGAGCAGCACCAAGGTGGCCGAAGAAGGGCGGGAGCGGCGGAAGCATCGGCAGCGTGGCACCTTTGCTCATCACGCCCCGCGGCGCGCGAGCACCTCCGCGCCCTCGCGCCCTCGCGCCGCCTCCCTGGAGAGGGGCAGCCACTCTGGCCCGGACCGCGACGCGCGGGATCTCCGCGCCCCCGCGGGTGACCGATATGCATCGGTGAGGCAAGGAAAAAGAGGGATACGGTAGAGGGAGACAATTACTGAAAACACTCCCCCTCCCCCCAAGATTCAATGTTGGCACGCGCGGGGGAGACAACGGCCGAAGTGCACGTCATCAGACACACCGCCAACTTTGAACATTAGGGGGAGAGGGAGGCGTTGACAGATGAATGTGGCATGAGTGTTCGCTAATTAGATCCGAGGCCTGTAGTGTGTGCAGCATCCAGAATGTGGCGCAGCGTTGCGCCCATGCAGCCAACGCCCTTTGGGGTGGCTGGATGACGTGCGATCTAGAATCTGGAACGCAGGCTCTGCTCCCAATCGGTGTTGGGATTTCTCGGGCCCGATGGCCCATTTGGTGCGCGAGGTCGTTCAATGTGCTGCTGGACTGCTGTAACACTAGAGCGCCATTATCGCACCACCCCCCGTCTCGGTAAAGCTACATCGCTTCTCGCCCCTGGAAAAGGTATCTCGCCCCCGGGCCCAGAAGCACGGGGTCCCACCAAGAACCGACTAGGATCCCAACGAACCCAAATTGGATTCCGAAGGGAAGCCAAGAGGGTTGCGACATTAACCCAATAAGATCCCAATCGGACTCCCTCGGACTGTCGGCGGGGGTTCCCGCCTCCGAAAAAGCCGTATTGAGACTTCTCTTGGGCTGTTTTACTCCGCTTGACCCCCCCATCCCCCCCCCACGCACACGGAATTATTCAATGAATCTAACGATACCTCGGGAGCGGCAACGAGGTAGGTGACGACGAGTGGGAAGAGGTATTCTGGCTCGAAGCAAGTGCTGCGCGCAGCTCGCATGGCTACGCACGCGCGAACGCAATCGGATATCTTAGGAGCCCGCTGACCACCAAAATCATCGGTTCAGAATCATAACCAAACAGCCAGATTGCGGCCCAGTTGCAAGCAACGCGAATGCACGCCAATCGCAACACAACCGAAGGCCAGTGTCGCTACGAACTGAATTCAAAATTCGCGCGCGCGATATTATCGCTGGGCGGATCGCCCCCGCCCGCCCCCGGAGTTCGTCAATTACTTTAAGTGCGACGGAGTGTGTCAGCAAACGTAGACCCCCAAACAATGTGTTTCTACCAATCTATGTTGTGCCACAAGTGTGGGGTAATCTATGTGGTGCGCTATATGGTGTGCAATTAAGCCCCATCAAGCCATTAAGGACCCCCCCGGGGTTATCATTAGCACAACACCGTAATTAAATAATTATGGGGGGCGGTTTTCGCCGAAAGATATGATCAGCACCGCGCAAATGGAACAAACATAAATCATTCCCGCGCCCTGGCTCGGGTGGCATCCCAATTGGAATTGGAATAAGAATAAGAGTGGCATACGAGTAATAATAATCAGATTAAGAATTGGAACAAGGATAAGAGTAAGAGTAATAATGATAGTGAGAATAATACTGGTACTAGTAAGAATGAGAGTAAGAGTATTAGTAAGACTAAGAGTAATAACCATATTCCGAATGAACATAATACTAATAATGCGAATCAACGCAATGACAAGAAAAACAATAATACGAATACGAGTACCGCTAACATGAAAAAATATGAGTAATACTACGAATAAGACTAACAATGATATTACTAAGGATAAGGGTAAGAGTAAAAACATAATAACCTGAATAAGATTAATAATACAAGTAACAACGAGTCATAATACAAACCACACTCATAATCCGACTAATAACCCCAATGCTAAGACACATAATACTACGAATCATGAAAAAATCAGAACTATAATAATAAAATTAGTACTATTAAGACTGAAAAATAAGACTGCGAATAATAATAACATATTTTCTCATGCTCTTCATCGTCCTGGTCCTATACGATTTGGATAACGGTCGTCGTGTGGGTTAGTGCTTCCGAGGATGCCGCCCCCGCCACGCACGGCGTGTTATCCCAGCTCCGCACCCACACAAAATAATTACGACTGCTTGCCCAAAAAGACAAGAAGTACAATAAGACCAATAACAAAACTATTAGTGCACATAAGAATAAGACTAATAACAGTAATCATACTACTAATACGAATGAGAGTAAGGATGAACATGATAAGAGTAAAATAATACGAAAGCGGACGGGCTCCCCTGCTTCTTTCCTCCCTCCCTCCTTTTTTCTCATGTTCTTCATCATCCTGGTCTTATACGATTCTTAATACCACCCCGATTGACAAATTGTTGCTTCCCGGCCGTCGTGTGGGGTAGTGTGCATCCGAGGATATCGCCCCCGACACGCACAGCGCGTTATCTTAGCACCCGCGCCGCCAAAATTATTCACCCCCCATCGTAGGCACGGACGGTTCCTTTTCAAAGCTGGGCTCTCCCTTGCGGCCCTTGCGTGGGACTTAATGTTGTTATTGTTGTTGGCGGTGTTGCTGGTATTTTTGATGTTGATGTTGTTGTTGGTGTTGCCGTTATTAGCCGTGTGGTTCTGGATATAATTCTATTTGCTAATATGTTTGTCGTTGCTTGTGTTAGTGCCGTCCCGTAAAGAAGTCTTGAGGAGGAGGAGCAGGAGAAGGATTTGTTCTGTTTAGCTGGGCCAAGGCTTCTTGATTGAGGCCTTGGTCCTCGGTTTGATCCGTAATGACGAATAAGAGCCACAATGGCTAAGGGGGGGAGGAGGAGGAGGAAGAGGAGGAGGACCCCCGATGAGGAGGAATAGGAGGAGGAGGACCCCCGAGAAGGACGAAGAGGAAGAGAAACATGACCCTTGCTCGGAAGGCCGAGCGCTGGGAAGACGCGCGGCTACTCCAGTTTTCGCTCAGACCGACCACCTGACGCAGACTCGTCTGCGTCCCGAGCAGTTTCTGAGGATGTCCCAAGCGAGGCGTTTGTTTCAGAACCACAAGGAAACCATATCGCCAGGATATCTCAGGCGGTTTGCTTGTTTCGGCGAGCAGACTCGTCTGCTATCACAGAAAATGTGCGAGGTGCCAGGGTAACGCTTCTGGGGTGCCCAGTGCGTTATACGTTCGCCGGAAGGGGGGGGTTCTTAATTGCTTGATGCGGCAAGTTCCTGTTCGCAATGAGTTGTCCACTCCACTGCCCGCGCAAACATCCCACCCACCCACCCGTAACTTGGTTTGCAAACGTCATGCGGCGGCGATTGCGATGAATGTTTGGCGCTGGCTGGTGCATCCCTGCGGCCGCGCCAGCCCGCGCATGCGCGCGCGCAGCGGCGCGACCGACGCGGCCGCGGTGGTGCTGACCGGTCGGCACATCCCATTGGGCATTTGAATGCGAATCGGCGACTTTGGCGGGTGCGGTATCATGGTGACGTCGACAATTGTAGACACCATGATGATGATGATCGTGGCGATGTTGGCGACGCTGCTGATCACGCCGGCGACGATGACGGAGTCTTCGCGTCGGTGGTGAAGGTTTTGGAAGGAATTCGAGATGCGCGCGCGGCGGACGCGTGAGAGTGGCCCGCATGGCATTATGTGACCCGGACCGTTCCACCCCAGCACGCGCGCAAGGGCGTTCGAACGATTTCGACATGCGCGCGAAGAGTACGTTTGGTAGCATGTTAAGAAAATCCTGGAAAACGTACGGCTTTCTCAAAACTTCGATAGGACGCGCGTGCACGCCTTTGTTGAAAACCCGTGTTGCGAAACCCTGTGCTTATTTATAGGTTTTCGATACTCGAATTAGCAAAACCTTTCCGGAACCTATAGTTTTTGATGGATTCCGGCATGCGCGCGCGACGACGCGCGCGCGTGCACTTTGTCCAGTTGTTTGCAAGAAAAATCTCGCGACGGCACGCGCGCAAGGGCGTTCGAACGATTGCGACATGCGCGCGCGAAGCCCGTTTTGGTAGTACTTCCTGAAAACACTTGAAAAATGGTTTTCTTGAGAATTCGCAAGAACGCGCGCGCCCCCCTTTTGAAAATCCGTGTTCCGAAACATGTTGTTGTTATATGTTTTTTGGGCACTAGATTTTGAAATCCTTCCGAAACTTTGAGTTTTCAAAGGATTTCGGCATGCGGGTGCGACGACGCGCGCGTGCGCACTTCGTCCCATTTGTTGCAAGGGATTCTTCGAAACTTATGATTGTTGATGCACGAGTGTGCGCGCATAGTATTGTTTGCAGACGATGGCGGGGGGGAGCTAGGGGGCGATACCGGTTCGGCTGGGATAAAATGATTTCACTGGTAGGATGAACATTCGGTCAGAACCATACGCAAACTGCAACACGAAAAGTTGAATCCCTAAGTCTGGACCTGGTTTGCAAAACCCATGCGGCGGCGACTGCGATGACTGCTCGGCGCTGGCTGGCGCATCGCCTCGGACGCGCTAGCGCACATTCTACCGGGGAACGAACCGCTCAACCGGGGAACGAACCTCCGTTGTGGGGATGGTCACTGGGGAACGAACCGTTCAACCGGCGACCATCACTTCCACCTGGGAATGTTTTTTGGGGGGGGAATGGGGGTTTCGGACCCCCCCCTTCCCCCCTCGTTTTGGGGTAGCGGGGGGGGGGCGTGCAGCGTCAGCAAACACTCTTTCCGATAGTGTGTTCACTGTACTTACCTGTCCCGCGTTTGCTCCTAAGGTGTGGCTTGGCCCGACGATTCGATGCCCCGAGGTAGCCCTGATATGCTCTCAAGATGGACGATCCGCCACCATGCTCCCTGGCACGTTGAGGCGTGGCAGAATGCCGAGTACTGTCTGGCAGGGATTCTGCGATCTTCAAAGGGCCCCCCGCCCCCGCTCGTGGAATTCCCCTGCGCGCAACGCGCCTCCTTTCCGAGGCCTTGTCGGCTCTCCAAGACGGAGGCTTCCAAGAGACCCCCAAGAGGCAACCCAAAGGCCCCCAAGACGCTCCAAGAGGCCTCGGCGAGAATGCCACAATCATTGATGTTACCTAGCTTTTGGCCACATGTTGGCCTCCTTGGGAGGGCACTGCTGCAGATGACTCCGAGAGCGCCTGGGGGAGCCCAAGATGACCTCCAAGATATCCCAAGATGCCTCAAGATGGCTCCCACGGTGTTCCAGGAGGCCCCAAGACCGCTCCAAGACGGCTCCAAATAGCCAGAGAGCTCCCCCAGGAGGCCCCGAAGAGGCCAAAATGCTTCCAAAACTCTAGGATAATCAATGCTTGAGGCTTTCTCGCCTTTTCGCTTCCGATGGCCATTCGAGGCTTCAAGATGGCTCCAAAAAGGCCCAAGACGGCTCCAAGAGCGCTCCAAAGGATCCCAAGAGCGCTTCAAGAGGGCCCCAAGAAGCGCCCAGGAGGCCCCAGGAGGCCCCAACAGGCGCCCAAGAGGCCTCCAATAGGCTCCCAAAAGACAAAGAGGCCCCAGGCAGCTCCCTGAGGCACCCACGACGCTCTAAGAGGCGTCCAGGACCGCCAAGAGGACCCCAAGACGCTCCAAGAGGCCTCCACTGGGGGACCCTTCCTCTGCGTGCTGCCCACTTCCCTGATCGAGGCAATTCCTCTGGGCATCGTTTCTGGATGGGCTGGTGGGGGCACTTTTTAGTCAGCGGCCGCGGGCGAGCGCGCCGGCGGCGAGTCCAGTCAAAGCGGGGCACGCAACGACGAGTTGACCTAAAGCAACGGAGGGCGGCCTCACCTAAAGCGGCTAAGCGGGGCCTCGCGCAGCAACTCAGCGGCGGACCGGCGAGTGGAGGGGGCAGCTGAAACTGAGTCGTACTGCCAGCGTGCAGGTATGCATGGCGTCGGAAGCACCAGGTAGTCGGGAAGAACGACGACCAGGGTCAGAAGCCGAGGGATTAATGCATGGGCGCGAACCCCGGCCAACTGCGTGAGTACCAGGGTGGCCGCAGCCAGAAGGACCGTCGGTCAAGGCCGAATTGATGCCGAAAAGGGCGAGAGCGTTGGCAGGCTGCGAGAACCCAGGGTGGCCGAACAGTCCCACGCTGGTGGGGTTACGCGAAGTGTCTAGAATTCCCCTGCGCGCAACGCGCCTCCTTTCTGAGGCAAGACGTCGGAGATACCAAAGATAGCTTCTCTAATGGCCAAGGCAGGCCACCAAGGCCGCCAACATGGGCCAAGAGGCGTCCATGACGGCCCAAGAGACTTCAAAAACGGTCCAAGACGGCTCCAAAAGAGCCTTCTGCAATGCCCGACCCAAATCCGTGTTTTAGCGTAGGTTTTTGGAAGATGTTGGCGTTCTCGCCTTTTCGGACTTCTGTCGGCTCAAGAAAACCCAAGAGGCCTCCCCAATGGCCCCACGACGACCTAAGAGGGCCTCAAGATAGCCCAAGAGGCCTCCAAGACGGCCTCAAGACAGCCCAAGAGGGGTCCTGGACTGGACAGCCCAAGATGGACTCAAGAACGCCTCAAGCTGGCCCCAAAGGTCCTTCGGAATGATCCAAGACGGCCTAAGAAAGTCCCTGGGCGGCCCCAGACGGCCACGATGGCCCCAAGAGACTCCCCAGATAGACGGCCACGAGGGCCCTAATAGAGCCCCAAAACAGCCAAATATTCCCCCCAAGACGGCCCAAGAGGGTCCCAAGAAACCCCCAAGACTGCATTTCAGGAGACCAGGCTTCTCCTCCTCCTCCTCCTCCTCCTCCTCCTCCTCCTGCTCCTTCCCCTCCTCATTATTATTATCACTGTTATCATCGCCAACCTCATCATCATCATCAGCAGCATCATCGTTCTCAACTTAGTTCTCATCGTCCTCCTCGTCCTCCACATCACCATCACCATCACCATCACCAGCGATACCACCATCGCGACAATCACGCACAGGCGCCCAAAAGAGGGAAATGATTGCTCTGCACGAATCAAAGTCCGAAGGTGTCAAGTGTCACGGTTTCCCTCCTTCAAACCATATGCCCCCCAGAACAGCCCCAATGAGCGTCATGAGCACTACCATGTGTGACGGCTCTGCTCCTCAATATCATCATGCTCTCCATCATCATCATCATCATCATCATCATCATCATCACCACCACCACCATCATCATCATCATCATCATTCCCCAGATCATAATCATCATAATCAGCATCATCACCACCATCATCATCATCATCAGCATCATCATCGTCATCGTCATCGTCATCATCACAGTCAGTATCACGATACTGCTGATCATGATAAGCATCATGATCACCATGATCATCTTCATCATCAGCAGCAGCATCATCATCATCATCACCATCGTCAACACCATCATCATTCACATCATCAACGACATCATCACCATGATCACCATAATCGCACTAAGACCAACATCACGACAACTGGCATCGTCAACGTCAGCATCATCAGCATCCTCATCATCAGCACCGTCATCATCGTCATCCTCATCAGCATCATGATCATATGCATCATCATCGCTATCACCGGTGCAACCATGACCATCACGCTCATTATAACCACCATCATCATCGCAATCACAGTTCAAATCATCAACCGCATTATGAAAATCATCATGATCACCATCATCGACATCATCATCATCATCATCAACAACCACACCAATATCGGAATCATGGTCATCACCATCATCGTCGCCGCCACAGCAATCGTTATCAGCATCAGCATGATCAACAACATCACCACCACCATCACCATTTTCATTTTAACTAGCATTCGCATTACCACCATGAGCATCATCATCATCACCATCATCGACATCAGCTCCATCGTCAACCCACCATCATCATCAGTATCGTAATCATCGTCGTCGTAATCACCATCGTCGTCACCGTCATCATCAGCTACACCATCATCATTATCAGCATCATCATCATCAATATGAGCATCATCGTCATCATTATCATCATCGTCATCATCATCACCATCATCATTCTCATGAGCGTCATTATCATCATCAGCAGCATCATCATCCACCTTCATCGTCATCATCATCAGCAGCAGCATGATGATGATCATCATCATCATCATGAGCAGCATCATCATCATGAGCAGCCTCATCATCAGCATCATCATCATCAACATCATCATCATCATCAACGTCATCCTCGTCCTCATCCTCATCCTCAAAAAGGCGCCACCCAGAATGCTGGGCTGGCAACGTGGCGGGACCTGCCGCAGGCAACTGGATACGATGCTCTGCGGTTGCCCCAAAGTGCTCTCAAGATGGACCCCAGAGGCCTCCTCATCCTGGCAGACCGGCGGCACAGGGCACAGCCCCTCAGATAAAGAAGACCGCCTGCAAAAATCGGCGCACGACCCGAACTGCCCTCCAGTCTCGCGCTGTCTTTGCAGCGGCGACGCTGGGGGCTGCCAGCGATCTACACGCATACGTGGGAAACCCTCGTCCAGGGGAGGAACAGGGACCACCGCCACCGATGATCCATCGAGGCGGGGGGTGGGCGACCCCCCGGCGGTGACACGCGCGAGCATCACCCAGTGCCCGACCAAGCTCAGAAGTGTCACTGCCCGAGAGTGTTTCCCAAACATCCTGTGGTGTTGGGCCCTCGTTTTGAAGAGACAGCGCCCCGCGTCTCCCTCCTTTCTCCTCCTCCCCCTCCACCCTCCTCCCCCTCCTTGCCTCTGCTCTCGCATGCGTTTCCCCCACCTTGGGCAGCGCTTCGTGGTCCCATAGGGAACTCCACCGAAGGCCCCAGTGGTTGCTCTCGCATGCGTTTCCCCCACCCTGGGCAGCGTTTCGTGGCCCCACAGGGAGCTCCACCGAAGGCCCCAGTGGTTGCTCTCGCATGCGTTTCCCCCGCCCTGGGCAGCGTTTCGTGGCCCCACAGGGAGCTCCACCGAAGGCCCCAGTGGCTGCGCTCGCATGCGTTTCCCCCACGCAGGGTTGCGCTCCGTGGCCCCATGGGGAACTCCACCGAAGGGCCCAGTGGTTGCTCTCGCATGCGTTCCCCCACCCAGGGCAGCGCTTCGTGGCCCATAGGGAGCTCCACCGAAGGCCCCAATGGTTGCTCTCGCATGCGCTTCCCCCACCCTGGGCAACGCTTCGTGGCCCCATAGGGAACTCCACCGAAGGCCCCAGTGGTTGCTCTCGCATGCGTTTCCCCCGTCCTGGGCAGCGTTTCGTGGCCCCACAGGGAATTCCACCGAAGGCCCCGGTGGTTGCTCTCGCATGCGTTTCCCCCACCCAGGGCAGCGCTTCGTGGCCCCACAGGGAGCTCCACCGAAGGCCCCAATGGCTGCTCTCGCATGCGTTTCCCCAACCCAAGGCAGCGTTTCGTGGCCCCATAAGGAGCTCCACCGAAGGCCCCCGTGGCGCAGTTCGCATGCGGTTCCCCCACCCAGGGCAGCGCTTCGTGGCCCCATAGGGACCCCCACCGAAGGCCCCAGTGGCTGCTCTCGCATACGGCTCCCTCGCCCAGGGCAGCGTTTCGTGGCCCCATAAGGAGCTCCACCGAAGGCCCCAGTGGCTGCTCTCGCATGCGGTTCCCCCACCCGAGGCAGCGCTTCGTGGCCCCATAGGGAGCCCCACCGAAAGCGGCACCCACAACGCGTTGCGAACAGTTGCTTATGGTTGGGTCCTTCGCCAGGATAATTCATCTAGGGCTCCCAACTTCGCGCTTCGCGCTGCGCGAAGGGCGAAGCGCGAATAACTTCGCGCTCTCGCGCCGCCCTCCCAAAGGGAGAATAGGAGGACGAGGAGGAGGGGGAGAAGGAACGAGGACCGCGAAGCGCGAAGCGCGAGTAACTTCGCGCCCTCGGGGGAGCCCTTGTTCATAGAGGAAAAAGCATGTCTGGTAACGGTCGCTGCCCCGGGGCGTGGGGGAGGCAGGTAACGGCAACGCTTGCGCGGGGTCGGGCACGTCGGGGAGGGCGCGAGCGCGCGAGCACCAGCATGTGTGGGGGAGCCCCCCCCCACACCGTGCGATCGTTATCGTTACCATGGTGTAGCCTGGGTACGGCAGGTTCGTGTCGTGTCGACCCGGGCGTTGGTTCCTGACAGCGCGGGGATCGTTCAACCTTGAACGATCGGCCGCTGCCGCAACGTCCAATCGTTCAACATCGACCGATTCTGGGCCGCCGCCGGCGTGCAACCTTGAACGCCCGCGCTGGGGTCGCCGCTGGTCGACACGACGCAAACCTGCCGTAAAGACCACTTCGCCCCAGAGGAGAAACAAAAAACGCTGTCCAAGGGTGGGTCTCCCCCCGATGGGCTCTCGCTGGATGTGGCCTCTGCTTCTCTTTTGCCTCGTGGTAGTGGCCCCTGGCGCAGCAACACCAGCCCTCGGACCCGCGCCCTGCGGCACGGGGCCCGCTCACCTGTAGATGCCGTAGAAGCACTCCTGCGCCGGGTCCGGGTCCGACAGTTCCGTGGCGTCCGTGACGCCGGCGTCTCTGTATGCCTCTGGCGGCTTCTCGCCTTTCGAGGTCACCGCGCAGGTGACGTTCAACGTCCAGGGCTGGCTCGGCCAGCAGTCCTTGCAGTGAGACACGACACACCAGCGCCCCTGTCCTCCAGGCACCTCGCTGGGATAGCACCTGCCGTCCACGAAAGGCAGGTAGTCGTCGCCATCAGAGTCTCCCATCTCGAATCCCCGTTCGCGAAAAGGCACCCGATTACCAATGAGCGTCCACATGACAACTTGCTCCGTGTTCTCAGACCTGTCCCCAATGAGCGCGAGCATTGCAGACAGAGGCTCTGCGTCTTGCATCACGGCCTGCATGGCAGGGTAAACTGCTCCAATCGACTTCTCGAGGTACATTCGTGGAAGCGCCATGACCTTGTCGTTGACGCCCCCCCACCACTGACAGTGCTTGATGGTTACCTCTGTGATTGACATGAGCTTTTCTGGAATCACTGGCCGCAGAGCGATCGTGTTCTCGCGCACCTTCACCACGACATCGTACTGACGCCCTGCAGATTTCTCGCTCTTTTGAATAAGCTCAGCGCAGTCTAGCTGGTGCCTCGTCTGGCTAAGGACATTGGCTATGTGTTTCCTGCGGGCGGCACGGGCTGCTTCGTCGGCGTCGCCATGTTTGAACAAGTACAGCTTCGGCCATCTCTCTAGGGTGACGTTTTCAGTCAAGTGCGGCCCGAACACGCCATCCCTGAAGTATGGCGCAAACGCCTTCCTCACCTCCCCCTCGTCCAGCTCCGAACTGCCGCAGAAGCTGGCGCCCGAATTGTTCGCTGTCCCGGGGTTGTTGAAGACACCGTCGCCGCCACTCTCCAGAGACAAAAACACATCTACGTTGGTGCTCCTGGCTAGCGGCTTGAGGATGTTCTGCACCTTGCTCTCGATCTCCAGCCGCGACAGCTGGCCCAGGATGCAGACTGCTGCGCCAAGGCCGGGAGCGCTCGCGGCATCGGCAGCAGGGTCGACGGAGGTGGAGATTGTGTTTTTACGTTCCGCGGTAACGGCCGTCCACCCCCCCCCCCTTCCCCCAGGTGGCGCCACGTTCCGCTGAGGCGGCGTCCGGGAACGCCAGGGATGACCGGGGACGGGCAGGAGCAGCATGTCGGTGGCGATCTGCACCACCGTGCTTGCGTACACCACAGTGCTCGCGTGCACCACAACGCGCGTGCACACGACAGCGCTGGTGTACACCGCAACAACCGTGTGCAACGCAGCGCTTGAGTACACCACAGTGCTTGCGCGCACTACAGCGCCTGCGCACACCACAGCGAAGGTGAACACCGCAGCAGCCGTCTGCAACACAGCGCCAATGTACACCACAGTGCCTGCGTGCACCACAGCGCCTGGTGTACACCACGGCACCTGTCCGTGTGCATCACAACACCTTTGTTGCACATAGAGCTTAAACAGAGACAGTATATCAGAATGGAGCGACTGTGGAGTCCACAGGGAACACATATTTATGCAGGACTATGAAAAGGAATCCTTGCGGAAATAGGAGCGCCTCTGGAATCTACGAGTCTTCCCGAAGAGGAGGAGGAGGAGGACGAGGAGGAGGAGGAGAAGGAGGAGGAGGAGGAGGAGGGAGAGGAGGAGGAGGAGGAGGAGGAGGAGGAGGAGGAGGAGGAGGAGGAGAGGAGGAGGAGGAGGAGGGAGGAGGAGGAGGAGGAGGAGGAGAGAGGAGGAAAAGGAGGAGGAGGAGGAGGGAGGAGAGGAAAAGGAGGAGGAGGAGGAGGAGGAGGAGGAGTTGGAGGAGGAGTTGGAGGAGGAGGAGTTGGAGGAGGAGTTGGAGGAGGAGGAGGAGGAGGAGGGAGAGGAGGAGGAACATGCTTTGCACACAGGCGCACTTCTGCTTTGGTGCACGCAGGCGCTGTGGTGTGCACAGGCGCTGTGTTGCACGCACGCACTGTGGTGCACACTGGCGCTGTGTTGCACGCGGCTGCTGTGGTGTACATAGGCGCTGTGGTGTACGTAAGCGCTGATGTGCACGCAGGCACTGTGGTTCACACAGGCGCTGTGGTGAAGATCGCCACCTACATGCTGCTCTTTCCCCCGTCCTCGGTCATTCCAAAGCATTCCCAGACGCCGCCGGCGCGAAACGTGACGTCACAAGCCCCGTTCCCCCCCCCAAGTGACGGCCGTCATCGCCCCGGAATGTAAAGAACAGGCTTCTGACAGACGCTGTGCGGGAACCACTCCCTGTAAATGGGGAGGCAAAAAGATGCCGATACCGCTCCTTCCTGGACCTTTCCTATCCAGGGCGCGCTCTGGCCAGGACCACGAATCGAATGTGGCCGTGGCGACGAGGGCCTCCCAGAAGGCCCTACGAGAGACGATAGCGGAGGGAAGAGGTGGCGGCGTGCGAACCCTACCCCCCACCACCCATCGATTCTCCTGAGTCGATGGGAAGCGAGGAGGAGGAGGAGGGGGAGGAGGAGGAGGAGGAGGAGGAGGACGAGGAGGAGAAGGAGGAGGAGGAGGAGGAGGAGGGTTATTTAGGCTCGTATTTCGCCGTCGAACCCTACCCCCCGCCACCCATCGAGTTGCCCGAGCCGTGGAGCGGCGAGGCTAGGGCCCGGACTCCGCCGCCGAGGGACGGCACCGCGGACCTTCCCAGGAGTGCTCTCTGGCCAGGATCGCGGTGCGAATCCTCCTCCTCCTCCTCTCCCTCCTCTCCCGCCTCCTCCTCCTCCTCCTCCTCCTCCTCCTCCTCCTCCTCCTCCTCCTCCTCCTCCTCCTCCTCCTCCTGCCGCAGCGACGAGGGCCTCACGGGGAGGCCCCCGGAGAGGCGGCAGCGGAGCAGAGGCGGCGGGGCCCATGGGCCTCGACCGGCGCAGCTCTGGCCGTGGCGACGCGGGCCTCCCGAGAGGCCCCGGGAGAGAGCGGCAGCGCAGGGGCAAGGAACTGAAGGGGCCCCAAGACACACAAATAAATACACACAAATAAAATTATTTCCAATATTTTCCCATATTTTCAGGGTTTCTGTCTTCCCCCCCACTTCCCATATTTTCTGGGAATCGACGAATAATTGTGTCTGTGTGTTTTTTCCTCTCCTGACAGGGGCAAGGAACGGCGACACCAACACCAACAGGGCGAGGAGCTGCGAGGAGGAAGCGAGGTCTCCCTGGCGGTGTGGGTGTGGTCCCCCCCCTCTCGCTCGAGACGCCCCCGAGAGCCTCCGGCTCGGGGAGGCCTCGTGGACCTCCTGAGCTGCAGGAGGTGCCCCCCCTGGTGGTGCCGATGCCTGTCGCTTCGCCCCCTCCTCCGATGGCGGAGGAGAGGCGGCGGCATCGGCAGCTCTGCCTCCCCTCGGGGCGAACGCGCTCGCCGCGCAGAGGCCAGCGCCGAAGGCGCCCGCCACGCCCACGGCGGCGGCGGCGGCGAGCGCGGCGGCGCCCCGGCCGCCGAGCGAGGAGAGGCCCCGGCCCGCCGGGGCGGCCAGCGCCGGGGCGCCAGCGGCCGCCTCCGTGTCGCTGTCGTGCGGGGAGGCGGCCACGAGCAGCCCCTGCGTGGCCATCTCGCGGGGCGATTCACCGCCCCCCCCCCTGCCTTTTAGTGCGGGCAAGACTTCTATCCATATCCAGAGCGTCTTGGACTGTGTGGGAATGGGGTACCGCGAGGCCGAGTCGCACTGGATATGGACAAAAATCGAGCCTTTGGGGGGCCAGATTCCATATCCAGTGCGCCTCCAGTTTCTGGGGAAGGGAGCCCAAAACTCCAAGACTCACAGGATGTGGATATAACTATTGCCCTGCCTTTAGGTTGCCTCTTCGGGGGCCCCTGTCTGTCCCGTCGCGTCGCGATCCGCGTCGGACCCGCGTCGGATCCGTGTCGAATGCGCGTCGCAGTCGCGTCGGACCCGCGTCGGAGTTCGAGAAAAGGCTGCCGTGCTACAGGGCAAGAAAGGCCCCCCGAAGATGCGAAGGGACCTGCTGATTACCCAGATCTCCGACATCCTTCGCGGGCGGGAGCTTAGTGGGCCCCGGAAACGGCAAGGCCGTTTTATCACCGTTTCCGAACAAGTGTCCCTTGAAAGTGGAAACGGCAAAAAAACGGCGACCGGAAACGGCAACAAAAACGGCTCCAGGATTGGAACCGGAGCGGGAACCCGTAAAAGAACGGCGACGGAACCGGCAAAAAAACGGCGTCGGAACTGGCAAAACAACGGCAAAACGGAACCGGTAAAAAAACGGCCCTGTCGTTTCCAGGGCCCACTAAGGTCTGGACCATCTTGGACCAGGTCCGGACATTCTTCGCGGGCGGGAAGCATGTCCACGTGCACGGCCTGGCGGGTCGTGCAACTAACTGGGCCGCCAGCCCGCGGATGTTTCACGGAAGCCCCGCGCGGACGCGGGGTGTCCGTGCGGCCGCGCATACGGCCTCGCGCCCTCCAGCCCGCGAGGCTGCCGCCGCAGACTATACGTGCGCCGCCAGCCTGCAAGCTGGGGGCGCCGGACCTTTGTGAAGGGGCCCTGGAGCACACAAATAAATGCACACACAAATAAAAGGATGTCTCATATTTCCCAATCTTTCTGGGTGTCTGTCTTCCTCCCCATTATACTCATACATGGATATTTACGGGGGAATCGACGATTCATTGTGTCTGTGTGTGTTCTTCTCCTCCTGACTTTGACGCAGACTGCGATGGCTCGTTCCCGCCCGTCCGCCACGACACGCCCCAGGAGGCCCCGCCCCGTGGCTCCTCGGGAGCCGCTCGCCCAGAGCGCCGGGACTACGGCGGGAGCAGGCCCGGCGAGGAAACGGCGAGATACGCGAGGCCGAGCAGCGGCAGAGCAGCACCCCCGCAGACCGTGGGCCTCTGCGGCGAGCGCGGGCACTCCTCGCGCCCGAGGGCGGGGGGCGCGAGGAGTGCGCGGGCCGCCCTCTCGAGACGAAGCCAGGACGAAGAGCTTCGGGCGAGGAGAGATCGCGCACCTCTGAGATCCAGCGGCTCTGGAAGCTGCCTCGGGCGCCGCGGCGCTCTCGGAGCGTGGCGTTCCAGAAGGCTCCGGAACGGAGTCGCCCTCGTCATGGCCCCGTCCGACGCCTCCCCCTGTATCCGTCGGCGCCGAGGCGGCGGGAGAGCCGCGCGGCGGGGGACGCTCGTGACAAGATCGTGACGGGAGGTCTCTTGCTGTGTTCGGCCTCCGAGGGCCCTTCACAGCCCTCGGGGCCGTCAAGAACCGACTCTCGGGATGAAAAACCGGCCCCGGGGGAAGGGGTCGACAGAATGGAAAGGCCATGGCGTCGAGGGTCTGGGCAAGAGGCCCCAAAAGGGCCCCGTTGGGGCCCTGTGCTTCACCGCCCCGTGTGGGTCACCCCCCCCCTTGCCAGCCGCCCGAAAGTCACACACACACAGGAGTCTCCGGAGGCCCAGGCGCACTTTTGGACGTCGGCGCCAGGGCGCCCTCGTCAGCGCGTCGGCGGCGCAGCGGGAAGGCACAGCTCTGGTGCGTGCGGGGAAAGAGGGGGCCCAGAGCCGATCCAAGAAGTCCACGCGGGCAGCCGAGAGGTCATGATCGTGCCGCTGCTCGTGCCTAGAGGAGGAGGAGGAGGAGGAGGAGGAGGAGGAGGAGGAGGAGGAGGAGGAGGAGGAGGAGGAGGAGGAGGAGGTGCTGCCAGGCGCTGGCTGCTCCAAGGTGTCGGAGGTACGGGTCCCCTCTGCGATCCGACCGCCTAGCCTCTGCGGCTGGCCGCCCAGCGGCTAGGGCCCCGTGGGGCCAGGCGCACCGCGAGAGGCGGGCGGTGCAAGCCCATCGTGCCTTGAGCC